AGCTTGGGATGATAGAACCAGTCCATGGCTTAGAATGGATTTACCTTTCTTCAAATTGTCCATCTGGCCTATTTGATGAGGTTGAGATCGGTGTCAAAGTGGGGTAGAGATTAGTGCACGGATTGGTAGATGCGGTACGTGCAGGCGTAAGCCAGTTATTGGTTCGGCGGGCCATATTCGAACATGTCAGAAATCACGAATTTAGAGTTTTCTATCGGCCACGCCATTACTTTCTGACTGCGATGACTAGTGTGCAAACAGGGTAAGGGTCATATCAATCAAAACGCGGGTATTCGACCAAAGAGTAGCCTGGTCACCTGGCCACAGCCATAAAGGTTTTGCCTATTGTAATGATTTATAATCAGAGCAGCTTCCACTATTATCAGTACACGTACCAAGAATACTAGCTGAGCCGCGACTTTGATATTGGTGTTGGGCAAGGAACTTGCCCAGGTGGTCGATCGATCCCTACCCACCTTGAACCCTTCCACTTTGACGTTACCCGGCCTGGTTTATTAAGGACTTGTCCCTCGTCGTTATAACATTTTCGAATGACTCCGGTATCTTTGTCGAAAGCGTGGAGAATCTGCTGTTGGAAAACTCGGACGACACCAAAGGCAGCATTCCGCTGCTTAACCACATTTCCGCTAAGGACAAGGTACGATACTCACCTTGATATTTCCTAGTACGATAATTAGCAGGCCGCATGTAGCTTTGAGAGGAACCCCAATATTGGGGACGAGCCCTGCGATCTCCTTGATGGCTTCAAAGGATACGATTGAGGTATCCAGAGCTACCTCTGTGTGATCTGGTTGTAAATTGGTGGGTTCGTCCCCATTGTTGAATTGGGAGTCTGGCGCAGGGTCGGCAAGTACAACTTTAATAGCCGGTTTTGACGCTAGACCTAGCATTTCAAAGTTTCTTCAATTTCTTCATCGCGCCTGCTCGACAAAGTCGAGGACAACATTAGGGTGGAGACTGGCGCACTTGAGATTGGACGAAATACGATTGTTGCGCGGTTGGTGCGTCTAGCGCATTGCCGTGTAGGCGCAAGCTATTGTCGTGAATGAAAGTTGTTGCTTAGTCTGATGTAGCGCCCGAGTTCCCTTCACCTCGATTGACCCAGAGTTTCTAAGGAAACACTTATCTCATCGAAAGAGATTTGGGAGAAATAAGACGTGATATTATTCGAGATTACAGATGTCGTGAAAAATAAGTGGTGCATCTTTAGCTGTTCACGGGAGTCACATAAACAAAGGTACCCAAGTCGGAGAGGGAGGGAATGAAATGATAGGAACATATTCGACATAGATAGCCAAAGTCCATTGTACACCATTTCACTTACATCGCTATTGATGCGCATTCAGAACGGATCAACCAACTCTATGCTGGGATTGCGGCCGGACGGTTTTCCTCTGGCTTGGGTCCCGTTAAAGACTCCATCTTCTTTTTCATCATGCTCACTAAAGTGGAGAGTAAGTGCAACTGCTTTCAATTTCTTTCGAAAAATGCGTACCTTCTCGGGAAATAGCACCAGTGTTCATCCAACCGTCGGGGAAGGCTTGTAGGATCTTCTTATAGAGCTCTTTTCTTTGACTCTGATCGGATACAAGCTCTTTGGACCCTTCTAAGTGACTAGATGATGATAAACATTCGACTGTTGTTCATCAATAGCAGCACTTACTTTTTTTCGTTTGTAAGAGAACAAACTTCGTTGCTCAATTGAACAAGGGCCCATAGATAACCTCGCATGGCCTCGTTGAGGCGATACCGAGTTGCCGGTGCTTTGTCCTTATCATCTTCTCCGTCATCGCCTTCACCTTCCTTGTCGTGATCGTCCATTGTATGCTGAGTGGGTGGCGGAAGAGGATTGGTGGGTTCCACACCGTCCATACCATTAGGCAATTTCCCATCTCCCTCGAGTTTCTTTCTGGACTTTCGTTCCTCCCACAGCGCCACGTTGCGCTCGTACTCCAGTTTCGCCTGATCCATGCCG